TGAGTCTTTTAAGAGAAGACCCAAGTAGTGTCGGATTCTTACCGACTGAAACCTCCAAGATGGCCGTCTTCCGAATGTTGGGGGAGCTCCGGGACCGAAACCTAACCTAAACCTAACCAAAAATATTTGACAACGTGTTAATTCGAATCTGGCCGTATATTGTGTACAAAGATACTTGCATACTCGGTGACAAATTATATTTTAAACTGTTTAAATTTCATTTTAAAGCGCGAAGTTTCTACTTTTGCTTGAATTCTTTTTCGCCAAAGATGCTTTTGCATTGTGCAGCAGGTGAGAGGGAAAGGATACCTTTGAAATTCGCGTCACTGAAAAAATTTTTTCCTAACTAAAAATCGACTATAATTTCGAAGATTAAAAAGTCTCCCCTTTGTAACAATTCCTTGAAACTTGCTGCACGATTTTTTTTCTCTCATTTCGTTTCCATTTTATTGAACGTTGAACGTCAGAATTAAACGTTTAATTTCAACGTCCAACAGAATTCAATAGGACGAAAATAATACAGCAAAGAAAAGACTTTGATCTTCAATGTAATTGTAGATCTAGTTGCGGAAAAAATTTTTTTAATGCTCTTACACGCATTTGAATTCTTACAGTTTTCCAAGAAAAAGAAAGAAAATCCTCGCTTTCCCATTCTCTGAAAAAAAGAAAAAAACAAACTCATTACTGACAAGTTAAGGAGATCAAATTCATTCTTTTTTACGTTAGTTTTAATTATCAGTAACGTTTCATTGCTGTTGATACAACTGTGCTCTTCACTGTCTTCGCGCTGTTTGATATTGAGCTAAAGTTGCTTAAGACAGATACGACTTAACGCTACAATCCCAAACTAGTCGAAAATGGCGGCCATAGCACTAGCTCTCGTCCGCCTTTGACTTTCAAAACGACTCTCGTCATTGTTCTGGCCGACTGCGAGGCAACATCCTCTATGCATCATCGAGGACGACTCTTTTTCTGCTGCCACGGAGTCTCAAACCACTCAACGATAAGAAATCAAGAATGAAGCCGCGACCACACCTTGGGTCGCTACGTTCTCAATGGGGCCGTGGAGGAACGTGGACGTCCCGCGGTGGTATAACGAGGCGAACCGAGCTGGCCCTGGAAATTAGCGTGGATTTTCATAGCGCATCTCGCATACGATATACACCGGACGTACCAATTTGTCCTGGGGGACAATGGGGTTGGCGAGCTGACTGAGGTCGGCAGCTGGTGATGCAACCATGAGAGGGATAATACGCCTCGTAGTATGTAGCTAGCACGAGCACCGCGTGGCGTCGTTGGATCGAACGTTTCCTCCTCGCGAGAGGTTCAGCGAGATCGCGGGAGGCCGTTCCGGGAACCGCGAGACTCGCGATGTTATCGGTCCACCTACGTGGCTCTCGGCCCACCGACACCTGCGAGAATTCGCACGGTAGGTGGCTCACGTATGTGTAATGTACA